CAGAACCTGTCTTTCTCCCAGCGTTGATCCTCATCAGCGGTTTAGTGGTAGCGGGGCTCACATACAGGGGTTGCAGTTTTCTTTGGCCCCATGAGGGCTCATAAAGGTGCCCATACACCTGCCGATTATCGTACAATAATCGAGGGTGATCCCGCGATCGTACGATAATCGGCAGGTGTATGGAAGGCGTGCGAGCACGCTTGAAAACCTGCCGAAAATCGTAAGATTGTCGGCGGGTTTGTGGCGTGCTCGTAAGACAAATGCCGCGCGGGCCGGTGTGCGCAAGCGCACACTGCCCGCTCAGCATTGGAATCATCGGAAGCCCTCCCCTCAGCGGCGGGGCTTGCGATGATTGCAAGTACGATCTGCCTGTCCAAGATGAGCAGATCGTACGAGATTTTAATTACCTTACAACCATCGCACAACGAAAGTCATGCGATGGTTGTAAGGTGTGTGGGCAGCTTTAAGGTCCCCACACACCTTACGATAATCGTACGATAATGGCGGGAAATCCCGCGATCGTACGATTATCGTAAGGTGTGTGGAAGCCGTGCGACCTCTACTACTGTACGGTCGCACGACTTTAAACTTACGGACATGTTCCAAAACCCGCCGAGCATCGTACGACGTTCGGCGGGTTTGCGGCATGTCCGTACAATAAAAGCCGTACGGGCCGGTGTGCGCAAGCGCACACTGCCCGTTCGGCTTTGCGGTCATCGGAAGCCCGCCCCTCGGGGGGCGTGGCTTGCGATCATCGCAAGTACGATCTGCCTATGCAACATAGGCAGATCGTACGTTTTTTTAAGTACCTTACAACCAACGCAAGACAAAAGTCATGCGCTGGTTGTAAGGTGTGTGCCCAGCCTTAGAAAGACCAAAAAAGTTCTTTCTACACCCCCTTGAGCTCATCTGCTTCTTATTTCCCCCATTACCCACCTACAGTATACTGGTGACCAAAGCCTCCCAGTCCCCATAGCAGGTGTACTGCATTGGCTGATGGCGACCTCTAGTGGTAGCAGGCTGGGAGTGACGTGGTCTTCCGTGACTGCAGCCGGAGAATGAAATGTTTATGGAAAATAAATCAGAATTCTATAATACATCTGTTGCCAGTTTATCGGCGATGTACACGGGTTTATTTATAATAATTGTACACATACACCTACATCTGCATTCCTCGCTTCCTGTGAGAGAAATAAGTGTCAACAGCGCCCTACGTTTCAGATTCCTAAATGGTTTTCCATAAAAGTAGAAATGGAACTCTCAACAGCTACGAATGATCTCCTCGGATTTCTAATCCTCCTCAGAATTGGATTACAGAGCTTTTCAGTTACATTTTATAGGCTTGATGAAATAATACTAAAAGTATATGTGAACGATACCATATGGGCGGATATTGGTTTTCAAGTGTATATTAATAAACATATCATATTTTTTTTTTAAATGTACAACAATCCAGTTAATGCAAATCCAAATTAAATAATCCAAAATGGCAAAGTTAAGAATAGGGTGATCAGGGCAATCGGGGGCGCCGTACCTTTCCAAGAGCAATTTGGTAACCAATCGCTGGCCAGAATGAGCGAAGCTTTCACTATGGATTCCTCACAGGCGGAGTGCATTTGGTATGACTCCGCCTGTGACAGGAGGCGGGGCTATAGAGGAAGCATCGGCTTATGCGGCTCTGCTCCCTCCGGTGCCGCCTCGCTTCCTCTAGCGCTGGCTTCGTTGGCACCGCTGATTCTCTCCCGCGACTCTTCAAGTTCCCCCTTATGCCACCACCGGCCCTGGGAATGGTCACAACTAGGACTTATTTTTGGGGTAGGTCTTATATTTTAGCAATTCCCAAAAATAGTACTAGGTCTTATTTTCGGGGTAGGCCTTACTTTAGGGGAAACAGGGTAGAGATGCACCGATATATCGGCCGAAAATTGCAATTTTGCCTAAATGACGAAAGTGCAATTCTTCATTTCCCAACATTTTGGCAAGAAAATTAGATCGCCTTGGGGTGTCAACTTTCCACAAATGTGTCATTTGTTGTCGTTCGTACTGTCCGGCCATTTTTATTTGATTTCACAACAGAAAGGAAGAAACATTTTTTTGGGTCAAATTGGTTATTGAATACCACCAAAATAAAGTTCTATTTGTCTCAAAAACGATATAAAATAAATTTGGTTACAGTGTTGCATTACCGAGCAATTGTCAGTCAGACTATCCCAGCACTGAACACCGACAAACGGCCGGGTCATGAAGGGTTAAGGTTAGGGTCATGAAGGGTTAGGGTCATGAAGGGTTAGGGTCATGAAGGGTTAAGGTTAGGGTCATGAAGGGTTAGGGTCATGAAGGGTTAGGGTCATAAAGGGTTAAACACAGGCTGGTTACACGGGTTGTTAAAAAGGTGTAAATCCCATTTGAGAACAAACATCACAGCAGTAAACAAAATATCTTTTTTTATTTTATTTATAAATAGGATAATATAAAAAGGAAAGGATTCTAAAATTGAAATGATCCAGGATTTGGCCGTATAATACAGGTGCCGACTATGACGCGGCAAGTCATTTGGCAAAAGATCGGCATCGGGCTCTCGGTGGGAATCGTTTTGCATTTCCGCAGTTCGGTCATTCCCGTCCCGCAGCTTCCTGTGGATGGAAATATGGAACATCGTCAGTATAAAAGCAGAGAAGATTATTATTATACAGGGTTTATATAGCACCAACAGTGTGCGCAGCGCTGTACAATATAAGGAAGACATTACAATCACAATACAAGATGGTAAGGAGGGCCCCGCCCCCGAGGGCTTACAATTTGAGAGGGAGGGGCCAGTGATACATGAGGAGGGAGCTGTGTGGGGATGAATTGTTTGAGAACGTGATAGTTCTGCGGTTAGGTTGAGGTGGGATAGAGGATACTAAGATTCAAATATCACAAAATGGAGGAAAGAAAATGTGAGACCCACCGTGGCTGGAATATATCCGAGCCTCAGAGAGAGGTGTATGTGCCTTTGATGGTGTTAGAAGCCTTAGAAATGAAGTTTATAGGATGATGTATGAATGAGAAGGACGCTCGGAATGAATTGATATATTCATATTTGTTCAGATGTAGACCTTTATGTCTAAAAGTTACAATCAAAGCTTGGAGAGATATTATTTAGGGATACGCCGATACTTTCCGAGCACCCGCGCCGATACTTTCCGAGCACCCGTGACGATACTCTGAGCACCCGCGCCGATACTTTTCGAGCACCCGCGCCGATACTTTTCGAGCACCCGTGCCGATACTTTTCGAGCACCCGCGCCGATACTTGGCATTTTCACGAGAACTACCAGGGTTGCAGCCGGGACCGGGCTCTGGCACTCCACCACTGTCCTGATATCATTAATCTGTATTGTTTTAGACAAACTGTCACATGACAATAAACCACAATGTGTCAGTACTCGTACTCGCAAAACTGGTATCGGTGCATCCCGAATATATAATTTATAAAAACAAAATCGTACATTATACAGAGATGTACAAATCCCGGGAGCTCCGTGTGCTCCTTACACATGACAGCCGCCTCCTAACGTTTGCATTTTTCTCTAGTCTAGTCTTGGAGCTGGAAAAGTATCGGTACTTTGTATCGGAGCATCCATAATATTATTCATATATCAAGATGTAGCTGTAGGCTAGGACAAGCTCCCCTCCCTCATTCCTAATTACTGACGGAGACTGAAGGGGTCGCTTGCTGCAGAATACTCCCATTCAAAGTTTATAAAGTGTTTAAAGGTATGAATGCCATCTCTCTACTGTAACATTTCTTGATGATGGCACCTTGGCACTGAGAACTATGAACGGATTGGTTGTCAAACACTTAAAGGAGAACCATGGGATCAGGGTTTTTCCCCATAGTTCTCCTCAGGGTAACGGGAGGACACAAACTAGCGTCCTCCCGTCACCCTAAGCTCAGTATATAGGGAGCTACAGCTCGCGGTATACTGAGACGCCGCAGCCGGAGCGGATCCCGACATCGATGTCGAGATCCGCCCAGCTGCGTGAGTGACAGCTGGCTCTGCCTATCTAGAGGCAGAGCCAGCTGTACCTGCCCCCTCCCCCGTCTGTTCCGCAAGTCAGCGCTGGCGGATCGGAGCGGGGAATCCAGCCCCTCCCCTGTCACGGGCAGAGAGCCGTGACAGGATCGAGAGGTGAGCGAACCCGGTATGTGTTCGCTCACCTCCCGATCTACTGAGCCGACCTGTGACAGTCTCATTGTCACAGGTCGGCTAGAACTATGAGGTGAGTGAAAAGCCCCTCCCCCCCTCATAGTTCTCCTTTAATACAATATATTAATTAATGTTACAAAATAATGTACAATAAAAAACACAAAAATAAGAAAGACTTACCCTGGCCTGCAGTGATTTTTGCCCCCGGCGAATGCCGCCCTTCTTCTCGTACACTGAATGGAGTCTTTCAATCAGGAAGCGTTTATCTTCACCTTCCTACCACAGACAGGAGAAAGACCGGAGATAAGATAGAACTACCTCAGTAAGAGCTCCAGGAGGACAGGGCAGTATTCCTAACCACTAACCAAGAAAATGGAGTCACCCTCTTGGCCGTGCTACCAAAAGTGTATGAATCCCAAGTGGCTGGACAGAGTTACAATCAAACACAGCTCACAAATGTGCATTTTCAGATCAGCGTTAACTCCTTAAAGGGACACTACATCCGAGTCCCTGAACTCTGAGCAACAATGTATCTTATTTGTGTCACTCGGCTGGAGATCCTCCAATCATCTCTGACACCGTCCTTCCTTCTGGAGGGTGACTACGTCTGTTCCCCATGCTCCCTGTGTGTGTGGTAAAGTAGTCACCGCTCCAAGCTCCGCCCCTGGGATAGACTACAATCTCATGTTTAGTTTACTCATTTGTATTGAGATTGTAGTCCATCCC